GAATACGCACGCGCTGCCTTCCCAGCTACGCGTGTACTTGTTCTTGGAAAAGCAGCTGCGAGTTTTATACTTGTGGCGACCCCACGTGATACCCACAGGCTCTGCTAGACCATCACCAATGCCCGTGATGAACACGAGAATGAATGTCAATTCTCCTTGAGCGGCAAAGAGCCACTTGAAGAACATAAGAATAAACATCCCTGGAGCAATGTTCCCCAAAATGATCCAATTGAGCGTGTGTGGACGATCTTCTGGACGATCTAGTGAATTAAATTGCAGCATGAAGAATTTGGAGTGCTCACGAATAGGCTTGATGAGCACAAGGAAACCCAACATTGTGAAAAAATCACCCCACGCCAGAGCAATTGAACCAGAATACTCCGACTTGATGACCAGTGGCACCATGTACGCAGCAAAGTGCTGCAGCTTACGCGTGTAGTTGACTTTAAATCTCGACGACTTGTTCGTCATGATATAACCCTTTTCATCCACATCACAAAAGCAACGACAGATAATCCCCCCAACAAGTGATACAACCATCATGACCACAAGCTTCGGTAGCTGCATCACCCAGAATTTGGTCTCGTGTAGCCACTGTGGCTCGTAAATGTAGGTCAGAATGACCATCACTCCTGCATACACCGCCATGCCAATCAAAAAGGCGAAATCGAATGTGCCGTACCAGTGTTCCTCATAGTCCCCAGCTACTTCTCCTTCTTCGACCAACGAAGTCTTCATCGTAGTGATAGGCTGCAGCTTCTCTCCTGTACTTCCATACGAGGGAACATTCGCACGCACTGGTAGCGGTGTAGGTACGCGCCACACAAGACGCAACATGACATAGCACAGCACAAGTGCAATCAAAGGCAGCACAGCGATGACAACGCCTTCAGTAGTTGTCATGTTCTCGGGCCACTCGAGGGGCGCCACTGTGGGGGCAGGGGTGACAACAGGCTCGACTGAGATCGCGTCCGCCATATTGAAGATTTTTTTTACTTTTAGATGCTTCCACTGGACTGTGTAGGCCGAACTTAGCAGATTCAGGTGTGACGTGCTTTGATGAAGGGCGGGTAGCATCACTTTCTCAAGGATATAAGATTGCGAATATAATTTTAATAGTCGATAATTAACCGACTTAATTTTAAGAGCCACTAGTTGTGGATTTATAATACATTGCTCATTTTTTTTACTTCCCGTAATTTATCACAGCGAGGATTCCTGGAACGTTCTTTCAAGACAGCTACCAATTTGATGACGCAACCTCTCAAAAACTGCGATTTTGAAGCAGTCAAAAGAGATGTTCGAACAAACCTATTGAAAATCATCAGCGTAATTAGACCTCATTTTAGTTTACATTTCTTTCCTGTCAATCGAATGATCAGTTCGTCTGAGCTAAAATCAAACAGTTTCTTAAACAGAATATTCTTCGTGCAACTTTGTTGAATCGATCAGTTGAAGTCATAGCAGACACTGGCTTAGAACACACTGAAAGCAATGCATTCAAGTGCTCGGCTGTGCCTCAGCACACTGAATATTATATCCCCATGTGCGTATAGCTGATAAGTAGGCTGCTTAACAGGGTGCTGGAGATAGTTGAAACGGGTCTGATTCATGACTTGCGGGTAGCAATTTGCTAACAGCAAACATCTCTGGATCGAAAGCTTTAAAAAAATCTCACTTCGTGTTGATGGCTTTAATGAAGGGGACTACGTCGAAAATTCTGTTTTAGATCCGCAGCATCTCAAATGCTTTTGATGTATAGTTATCCCTCAGGAAATACAATCTTTTGTAAACATCACCAGCTGTACTGAGCGTGGCAAGACAAAAAGTGGGATCTTACCCACAACCAACTAAAATTCAAAGGAAAGAAGGTGTAATACACGCAAATTTACACTTAGTGTTGGTATTAAAAGGTCGAGCAAGCCAAGCACGTGGTACACGAGCGTATATTTTTTAAGGAAAAAAAATAGCAGTCGTCGGACAAAACCACTGCATACATATATTTGCGGCAACACGGATTCAACAATAGACGATCGCATCAAGAATTTTTTTTGGCTCCATCGACCCCTCTCCCTTCGTAATCACATATACAATGCTCGAAAAACGAGAGCCTGATTTTTTCCAGTACGATCAATTTAACAAGAGCAGACAATTAGCTACAATTCTCTAAAGCATGACAATATTTCAAAAAGGCATTTAAGTTTAACAAGGTTACTTTGAGATGAAGAATAGCCACTAACTCATGTTATGAGTGCGTAAACCAAAGCACAAAGGATGGACTCTATGAACGCCCGTCTATCGAACTCGAAAAACAGGACCTCTCAAGTATCCAGTACTTTACACTAAATTAGATAAGATGTGTTGTATATTGAATATTAAAGCTAGCAGATAACAGTGATACGTATTACTATTTATATGTTTGTCGGTAACTCAGTGCCACAGGTCAAACCCTGTATAGCTCAATTTCACCACGCTCAGTGTAATTAGTCGAAAACATTCACTTTGTTCCTATCCCTTTCTTCGGAATTGGTTCTTGCTGCGCCGCTGACCATGTCTTCTTATCTTCCGACGCTTTCAATTCAGCCTTGATCGGATCAGGCCACATCTTGGACTGTAGTGATTTAACGAATCTTGATACGCCGCTTGTCGTATAACAATACATTGTTACAAAATGATAACAATCTTTGTATCTTATTCGAGCGTGTTCATTCTGATACAATAAATGTTTTATTGCAATGCCGATGGTATATTGTAACTAGTGTCATACTTGAACCGCTAGGAGCCACGTTGGATCTGTCGGTTCCAGTTTGGTCGACTATCATTGGTTCGACATTGCTGCGAGTTGAAACCACAGGCACTCGTCATCATCACCACCACCATCTTGCATACATTGAAAATCTTGATCGCTACTAACGAGTTGCACGTACTTCGATCTTGGTAGGTCTTGAAACACAGCTGACTGCATTATCTCCACTCGCTTCAACTCAAAGTTTCTACACGATGTCCTTTAACTTGATCTGAATATCCCAAAAGAATACATTTGTATGTTTTCTTGTTGAACTTGACACGCTTTACCTTCTCAATGTGTGCATAGCCCATAACTCCAAAAACTCGCACGTGTAAGAGGTTGGGTTTTCTACCGAAACACACTTTAAACGGGGTTTTCTTCGGGTCGGTGGCACACGAAACTCGCTTGGTCACATATACCGCAGTATTCACTGCTTCGGCCCACCACTTCCTTTCAACTCGCATATAGTTCAGCATCGATCGTGCTCGCTCCGTGATTGTCCTGTCCAGTCTTCGATCCAAATCATGGCCGTAAAGCACATCTTCGATTCGAATCGGCTTCTTGCTCTTTAGTATAACGCGGATCGACCCAATTCTGGCAGCCAAAACCTTGCCACCGTTTGCAACTGAACAGGCAGTCGGCTTGTCGAGTGGGCGAATATCATCATACTCATCTTGAAATGGAGACATATGACTGCTTGCACCACAATCGAGCAGCCATCCATCAGAACCATGTTAACATCCCATGAACGCCTGTTCGCCTTGCTTCTTGTTGTCTGGACTCTCCCAGCAATCTTGCTTACGGAGCCCATATCGATTGCATACAAAGCATTTTTTAGCAAACCTGTCTATTTTCCTTTTAGTCGGGGGCCTTTGTTCTTAAAGCCTCGAGTCGCCTCTAGAGCGATCTTACTGAACATTTTTAGTCATGCTCTCACATTCTCAGCGTTTCTTCGGCTTGAAATAGATCTATGCTGAGCATGTATTCGATGATCTTCACAATCGGGTCGCAGTCTTCCGTTAAACTTCCGAGAAGAGTCACAAGATGTTCGTCTTGCGAAATTTCTTCACCGAGAGGAAGCGTTTTGTCGAGCAGCCGCCAATCGGTAGATATCGGTAATACCGGTGTGGATAGGCTGATTGCGCAAGTTGCGGTTTCGTGGGTTAGCCAAGTATCCAGTGATGTATCCAACAAAGGGCTATCCACAGGGGCATAAGAGGTACATATATTCAGTAAAGAATCCAGTAGAATATTTGATAAAATATTCTAGATAGGCTTAGAGGTAGCACAGCGAACTAA